TTTGTACCAGAACAAAGTAGGGCCTGTGTAACTAGTTTCAAAAGTACAGTCCAGTGTAACTGTGTCTCCTTCAGCAGCAATGACATCTCCTGGTGGCTGAATCACTTTGTCTTCTCCTTTACACTCTGGAGAAGGACACAACATTCAGAGGAAGACATGAATCAACATTTTATGATTGATTAAAGAAGAACCAACAGCTGTAGCGTTTTATTCCATGTTGAATAGATGGAACTTTGTGATCTACTAGTTTTTCTCAGTCAAACTCTGATCATGTTAAATATGTCACCTACCTCTTATTGTGAGCAGAAACAAAGTGACGAACAGACTCAAGTTCATTGACAGCATCTTGACGATGAAGACAATGTGTCTGTTTTGTGGATCAAACTCCACTGTGAAAGTTTGTGTGTTTTCTGTACTTGAGTCCCAGTTTAGCTCCTCCCTTCATCCTTTCCTCCTTCCTCTCACAGCTCTGACTAACAATGTGTTTGTCGTTGCTGCTGCTCTACTCTCTACTCTCCTACTCTTGGAGGAGAGTAACGTGTATATTTGTGTGTCGTCTGCATACAAGTGTTTCCTGACAACATCACCAAGGAGAAGCATGTATATATTAAATAGGTTCCAGGATATACCCTTCCAGGTCACTGGGATCAATATTATTCTATATCTAGAACTGAAAGAACCAATCGAAACAGAAAAGAAAATTAAAGTCACGCAGAGACTTACCATGAAATTGAGCCAAATGATCAAAAGTCTGCAGCAGAAGCCAAATGTGTAATTATTGGCACTTCAAAGTGGGAAAGAAATTAAGTGAGAGTGACATTGAGGGCCCAGAAATTGAAGCAGGTTTATTTTTATGATTGTATCCATGTTTTCTATAAGAAAATACAGTCTTTTATTGCCATTGCATGACGTTTGGAGGTCTTAATGATCATTAATATTTGATTTGGATCAAGTATTATAATACAACGGTTAAGTAATTTGTAGGGATGTAGGATAATATCGGCCCACCGATATTATCAATGTTAAATCCATCCAATTATCAATATTATATGAGCACATTTTGTTTCTTTGTTTTGTCTGTGTCTTCAAGGCTTTGTTTCTTTGTTTCCACTGATATTATCAGCCTGATATTGGCATAAAAATTTAGTATTGGTCAATATCGTTATCAAGTTTTTTGCCATTAATGAAAACCGATTAAAATAATGCCTGCATTTCGCTGGCATTTACCAGAACGCAAATGACGACATCATCAACTGCAATAACAAGCTTGCTCACGCTGTGCTTGACTAGTGATGTAACTAGAGCTAGACTCGAAAATCCACATATTCAGTCATTGTGGTGACATCCAGATATTAATTTTGAGGTCAGAATTAACCAGACAAGCGACACATTGTTCAGGAGACGGACATCTCCGAATGTGAACACTCTGAGGAACAAGATCAAAGTGCCAAGCGAGAGATGGAGCAGTATTTGGTGGACTCTACCAGAGTACTGTCTGGCCCACTTAGATGCTGGAAACAGAACTGTGACCCCTATCCGAAACTGGCATTAGCAACCAAATACTGCCTGTGTGTTCCGGCCACTTCCACTCCTTCAGAGTGCATTTTCTCAAAGACTGGCTACATTGTCAACAAAACCAGGAGTTCACTCTTGCTCAAAAATTTTGACAAACTCCTTCCTGGCACATAACATGAAGAGAGTGTAGGTAGGCTAGTAAAATGTCTATTCTTGAATATATATGCCACTGTTTTGCACTACCGCTCTTATTTTATATAT